GTGGTCAGTGTTCATTATATATCACTGACATTTGGCGATTTTCCACCACAACATACCATAAATAACTCTGGTATTTATATACATGTCATGTTTTCACGTATGCAAATGTGTGACAGAAAAAAAAAAAAACACTACAAAAAACTCAATTTGACCAATATATAAATGCTGAATGCAAAAATCGTGCTCAAGCAGATGCAGACATCCATCCTGCTTCCTTGCTGTTGTCAAGCAGGTTATACTTATTGTTAGATTACTTCAGCTATTTATTGCTTCTTGATTTATTTAATAGAAATCTATATTTGTTTATTTAACAGGGACATGCACATCAAAAAACATTGCTGCAAATGTGCCATGTTGTTCATTTGCAGTCCCTGAAACGATGGTACAGAGTCACTTTAAAGTCAGAATATACAATTAAAAGCAAAAAGTTATTAAAATCATTGAACTCCATGTAGAATTGTCGAGTGGCTGTAAATCTCTGTAGGAAGGTATTTAGAAGGTTTTGTGTGTAGAATATTCATCTGAAAAGCAGTTATAACTGTCAGAGTAGTGGGGTTTAATTAGAAATTATCATGAAATAGAAATCCTCTTGTAAGACACCTAAAATACTAAAATGCAAATGCACTCACTGTCGTTACTGCTGTACTTGTGTGTGTGCAGATATTCAAAGGAGAGCTGAGTCATAAGACCACATGCTGCAGGTGCAACAAGGGGAACGATTCCAGGAGCTTTTTTTGGATTCTGCCACTTGCTGTGGAAGATTCATTTTGTAGAACCTACGATGTGGTACGATGTTTTCCTCTAACAGAAATGACCTATGTATTTTACCCATGAAGAGATAAAGTGACAAACTCATCTCTGTCCGCAGGAGGAAGGATTTAAGTCTTACTTCAACGTGCAAAAGGTCTCTGGAGAAAACCAGGTGTACTGCAGCCAGTGTAGTAAAAAGCAAGATGCAGACACTGTGAGTAGCAACTCTGATCTCCTTATATCTTTATTAAAATGGCCGACTATCTCCTGGTCATGCAGTTGTTTCCATGGTGTGGTTCTAGGTGTGGGAATTAACACAACATCCAGATGTTCTGACCCTCCTACTGAAGAGATTTACATTTGATTACAAGAGGAAGTGTTACGTCAAGCTTCACTGCAAAGCTGATGTGCCTCAAACTTTATACACGAAGGTAATTAATTATGTACACCAGCAAATAGTTATGTTATCTTTAAGGAACAGAAAAGAAAAGAAATCATGCCTTTAATTGCTCTCTCCTCAGACATGCACATACGACCTCTTTGCTGTAGTTAACCACTTTGGAAATCTAACAGGAGGTCATTATACTGCAGAAATCAAATCTTTTGAAACTGGGCAGTGGTACTGCTTCGACGACGACAGCGTGAGGAGGGTAATTTTTCTACATGTAGACAAATTTCACAAATACTCACACATTTTAGTGAACAACATGAAGTTTAACATTTGCATTGTGAATTCCCAGGTCAAGAGTCACCCATTTGGGATTGGAGTCAACTCTCTGAGGTGAGTGTTTCTCCTGTTTACTCAGACATGAGGGATGTTTCCTGTAGGCTGTATATAAAAGGTTGATGTCACCCAGTGGTTTGTGGGCGACTGTTTTGAAGCCCCCAGTTGGCATTGGGCTGTTGCTATGTTGATCTTTTGATATTAGCAGCGAGGAGTGTGTCTGATTGTGACCCCAAAGGCACTATGCACACCCAACTGGTAACGGCTTGGCAAGATAGGCCCACCAGAAAACATTTAGTTTGCTGTAAATAATTAAAAAAAAAAAAAAAAAAAAGAACATTATGCTGTATTGAAGACTTGAAACTGACAATTGAGTTTATGAAATCATGAGGAAAATGCTGACTGAGGTAACAAATCATGTGAGGCATAAGGTCATTTTCTAACAGACCTCTATGCAATCTGACTTCTCCTTGCAACCCGAGAGGTCGCCCCCTGCTGGCTGAGGGGAATTGTGCAGCTTTATTTCACATCCGCATTGGCTTCACTTTTTAGACCTGAACGCTGCATCCATTTTTTTATGTTTGATGTCATTTGGTAACGTCTGCAGTGATCACATTTTCCACATTTCTCAAGTTGAGCTTGGTGCCTTTCCTGCTCTAACAGTATCCCCTCTCCAAACAGGTCCTGTGCAGCTTACCTCCTCATGTACAGAAAAAGTAAGTTTCCCAAAGCTTGTTTTATTTACTTTAGTTTGGCTCTGTGTAGATTTTTGTGCACAAAAAGGACTACAGCTTATTTACAATGAAGTTCGGCATCATACATGCCTCATAACCACCCGCAGAAGCTCCAGAACATAAAAGATTAGCCAAAAACTACATGTTTCATTAAATCTTTTGTTGTGTGTAGGTCAGGTTTAAGTTTATACTTTTGGACGAACACTGATGCACTTGGTTCAGTGATAGTTAAAGAACAATGGCTGATAATCTGAGTTGTTTTGTACAATTAATCTGCAAATGTAGGACGTCCTCCTCCCCTTGAACTGAAATGCCACCTTCTGCGTCTCTTTTCTTTTAACTTATAGAATGCATGTTGTTGCTCACACAGAGCTGATGCACTGTTTTTGTAAATTAGTTTAAAAAGCATTTGTAGAATTTTACTTATTTATTTATATGGAGAGAGAATGCTCCTTTAGGATTTGTCATTGTTGGGAGAAAGGACCGGGATCTGTTCTCTTCTGCTGTTTGTGTTTGGTGATCATGTTCCCTGTTTCTGTTCAAAGTAAGCGGGCATCCTGAAAAGGCCGATGGAAGCGACCGGGAAGCTCAGGGTGCACATTCAGACGCCGAAGTGGAAGGAAGACGTGATGAGGCAGAGGGAGGAGAGGCTCTTGGTCCTCATTACCAACTGAAGGGTGCAAGCTGCAGAGGAGGAGGGGAAAACTTCAAGCATTTGAACGGTGATATATTAGACAAGAGCCATGATGATGCTTTGGGCAGGAGACAGAAAAACTCCTCTTTAGGGGATAAACTGCTAAACCACAGAGCATCACCTCTGAGACATCCAACCAACATGTTGCCTCAAACAGACAATGAAGCAGATGGAGACAACTACAGTCCAAATCTGGGTTGTAGCTCTACAAAAACAGCTGTTGAAAGCAACAGTGTGAAAATTGAAAGGGAGGTGGTGACATTAAGAAGCAGTGTTAAGCAGGGAAGAGAGGCTAATGGCAGTGGTATGAGTGACTCTAGTGCAAAGCCATGTCATGCCTCCTCTCATGGATATCCTAGTGCATCAGATATACAACTGACAAGACGCTCATGCAGACCGCGTAGGGGGAACGAACCCACTGAGTGTTCACCGAATGTGTGCAGAAAATCAAGCAGCTCGAGAAGAAACAAGGAGAAACAACAGCATGTTGTTCATGCAGACAGCAGCTGCAAACCAGAGGCCACACAAACTGTAGAAGAAAACCGGAGAGGGAAAAGAGAAGCTAAAAAGTGTGAGGACAAAGCAAAAAAAAATCCATGGAAGTGATCAAATAATGAGAGTAAGTTGTCTGACTTTAGCACGTTGGGAATAATTTATTATTTGTATTATGTTTTGTCAACAGGTTCACGTTCAAGAGCTGTTGGCTGTCTTCTGCTATGAAGTGTGACAGACTGTGATTATAGATGATGTTTGATGGTAATTCATTCTGACAAACTCATACAGGTGCAGGCAACACAAATCATCAACTAGATAATCTGCATTCATGTCAGAAAAGGCTTTCTAATATAAGGACAAATATATATATTAAAACAATCTATCACTGCTACTGTATATTTTGGTCAATCTGAACTGTGAAAAATGAAGTTTTTGCTGAGATGTGGAGAGAAAGACACTAAAAAAAAAGTAATGCATGCAGCCTTTATTACCTACATGTTGTCTCACTAAACAACAACCAAATCAAACACAAGAAATCTTCTTTCAGGTAAATTTGAATTTAATTTCAAAAGTGTTTGTCATGTAGACTGGTAATAAATAATAGACACTGCTTGTACTGTGGTGAAATGCTTTTATTTAATGTATAAAAAATTAAATATACTTTCTTCCAAAAATGCCATTAATCCCCTCTGTTTGCAGATTTACCACGCTCTAGTGAGTCTTGTATTGAAATGCGTTTTACATTGTCAAGAATACCATTTGCTACATAACGATTGATAAATAATAAAGTGTACTTTTAAATACGTTGTACTTTATTAGGATCGCCGTTATCTGTTATGAAAAGCTCTATGTGAAAGTTAACTTTTTTTTGAAGGTCACAATGTTCAGTTTCTGTTAGCGTTGTTGTTGTTTTGGGGGCTGTTTTTACTGAGGTTATATGAGAAATGAATACAGAAAATTCACACGTTCCAATTTGTCAGTTAAGAGAAAAGTTAAGGGAAACTCAACTTATAGCATCGAGTGACCAATTCTCACATTTTCCCCAAATTTCGAGCATGTAAAACCGTGTTCAGCGTTCTAGGTCAACACTTACTGCTGTCTGAAACCCACTTCAAGTTTGTGAAAGCTTTATACTATTGGTGAATGTGGCACATGAGGGACATTTAACTGCTTTTATTGAAGGTGGACCACATTAGACCAGGTCCAGATCTAAAACCACTATTTTAATCCCTGTTTTTTTTAAATTTATTTTCACAAATATAATAAAGGGTCATCAAATGACACTTCATAAAATGAACATTTTTAACAGTTTTTAACTGTGATTGTTTGGACTATTCACTGTTTTACAGATTTTTCATGTTTTCAAGTATTTTGTATTTCAAGCAATAATTTACATGTTGACTGTAAAAACAAACAAACAAACAAAACAGGCCAAACTTTAAATAATGTCAATATGAACAATCTGAATTTCTAATGTAGAATTACATGGTTTTACTGTATTTAAATTAGCAGAAAATAACATTATTCTACATATTTTTCCACTATTTGAATATAAATCATGCACATTAAGGACTGGTATGGTAAATCATTTTGTTCTTGAACAGATGTTCCCTGTTTTGATAAATTACAGATAATGTGTTAAAAATCACACACACACACACACACACATATACTTGGTAGTTTGTGTCTTTACATAGTTTGACCCTACAATTACAAGTTTTCTTATTGTATTGAAATCAGCAAAAAAAAAAAAAAAAGACTTTTCCTGTTTTGTTAAATTGCAGATATTTATTTAAATCACAGAAAAACCATTAATTCACGTGTTGACAAAAAAAAAAAAAACAAGTTTACAGATATTTGCTGTTGTTTTTGTCGTATTTGCAGTTTTTGAACGTTACAATATTTCACTATGTTGTTTAGACTTTTCTGGAACAGATTTTTCTTTTTGTTGTTTTTGCTGTACAGTTGTTTTTTGTTTGTTTGTTTTTAATCCAGGTCTGGTCTAAATTGATCTACATGTAATAAAAAGCTGTTCTTTTTTGCCACGTTCACAGCTGGAATGAAGTTTTCACAAATCAGAGACTCCGTTTTAAAGACCCTTTAACTTCTGCAGGACAGTCTAGTCTAAATTTGACTCTTTGTTTCTTTATAGTGATTTCAGATCTGATTTTCACCAATGAAATAAAAGTCAAGGTTTTCTTTTAAGGCTTGTGTACCTACTTCTTTTTCCTTTTTTTTCTCTCTCGCTCTGCCTCTTTTCAACTCACCCTGAAACTGAAACTAGCTTTACTGCCTTTCTGACACAGTTTCCATGTCCGGTGAACACCACTACAGCTCTGAAATCCAGTGTGTGGAAATAAACGTCGAGGTACAACCTGGTAGAAGAACAACACAGAAATGGTGTTCAGGGTCATCGTGATTGGGCCCGATTTGGACAGATCGTTAGTCGACCTGTGTGACACCGAGGAGCAGTTTAAGACCATCACAGTGCTGCAGCTGAAGGAGAAGATACGGGAACGTTTTGGTTACAAACCAGGTACTTAAGTTAGAGTTCTGTCATCATGTAGTTAGTATTAACATTAGACTGTCATCTATGAAATCTAAACCGTGGTCGACTGCTGGGTTTTAACTCTCTCTCTCTGTCTCTCTCGCTCTTGCTCTCTCTCTCTCTCTTTCTCTTCCTGTTTCTCTCTCTCTGTGTCAGATACTATACGACTAATCTTCACAGGTCGCTACCTGTCAGAATCCACCCTTCTGTGTGAT